GTTGCTGCAGGTCTACCTCGAGAACTTGCACTGGGTCTAGCATCTCAAACTGTAAGTCTGCTTATATTGCATGGTGTTTTACTACTCAACCAGTCATGTGACATCATCACACCATCGTGTATTTTTGTCTATTTGTCACAAATTGTAACAATGTAGGTCTAGATCTCCTTAAAAGGGTCATATTGCATAAAATATATGAAAGTAGATAATCCCTTTACTTTTTAAATTTAAACCTTCACCAACAAGAAAAAGTATTTAAAGAACTGAAATAGTTTCTAACTCTCAACTGCCTTCGGATTGATTTTGGTGGCTTGAACATCCGAAACACATTTTAAAAAATCCCTTTCTTTTCAACGTCAAGAGTTTCATATTATATTTGCTGGCTGTTCATAATGTATCGTCACTTTGGTTTATTTTTTCTTCAATTCCGTATTGTGAGATTAGCCAATTCTTTGCTTCCCTTTGCAGGTATTAGGAGCAGCATCTATGGTTACTATTACTGGGAAGCATCCAGGTCAGCTAAAGGATGATGTAACATCACCTGCTGGAACTACTATTGCTGGCATTCATGAGCTGGAGAAGGGCGGGTTTCGTGGAATATTGATGAATGCAGTCCTCGCTGCTGCCAAACGCAGCCGAGAATTTTCGCAGAACCAGTGACAGTGATATTCTTATATCAGATGAGCTTTTGGCCCTTCCTTTTCATAGCGCAGGGGATAGAAATCATTTCCAGAGAATATTATAGATTCTTATATATTGTCCCGTGCTACAATATGTTTAATTAGAGTTTGATTGAAATACTGTTTTCAAGATTGGACTACAGGTAGAATAAGCTTAGCTAGCAATAATAATAAAAATTTCTTGATTTTATGTTCGTTAACAAAACATTGGTGCAATTCCAAGCCCAATGCTGTCAACGGAGGCTCCTCATGAAATGCTTTTAACCATAAAGAACACAAATTAGAAGATATGTGTTTGTGCAAATAATCTCACGGGAGAATATTCACTTCTAGATCCTTGGGCATGTAATCTTCTTTATCTCTTCCTCGATTCCTGTAAAAAAATTGGAGTAAATAGACCACACTCGGGGGGTGTTGGCCAAAGGCACTCCGATGCCTAAGTTAGTTCGATTGAATCTAAGTGAAACAATAGCTAAAAAGGGGCACAGAGATTTCTCTTTGGTGAGAACCGAGTGGCCGAAGTCGTGTGGTGACCGGAGTCTTGTGAAGAAAATATGGAGAGAGGAGAGCAATGTGGGCTGCGGCAATAGAGTTATCGTCGGCTAGGAGAGAGAGGGAAGAGATATCTTGGGTATTTTTTGCAGGGTTTTGGACAACCTAGGCCAGAAAGGAATCGCAAGTCCATTCATACTGGGAACCCAACTCTAAGAAAAGTCCAAAGCCCACTGCAATTGGGAACCCAATCTGCAAAAGGAGTCCAACTCACAGAAGAAAACCAGACACAGTTGGAGAGCCCGAAAAATAATTTCATCTCCTACATGTCACACAAGTGCCATGCAGAAGCTGGGGGGGCATTTGTGGGAGCAAATATTTTCGTCTCCAACTATGGCACACCATGTGGAAAAGAAGAATATCCCTTAAATTAATTAATTGAACTAATTTATTTGGCCAATTAATTAATAGGGGTAATATCTTAATTATATAATATAATTTTTATTTAATAAGGTAATGCCATTAATTTAGATATTATTCTAATAAAGAGATAATCATCATCAAATTAGGAGATTTGGATCCCAATCAAATCCTTAATGGACTCAATCTCTACAATTTGGGGAAAGAATAAACTCCTTCCTAATAAGAGTTTTATTCTCTACGAAACCCTAGCCTCCGAGGCTCCTATAAATAGATGGCCTCATTCATCATTCGAGGTAACTTCAAAACCTAGCTCCAAAACCTTGCAAAAATACCCGAGATCTCTCTCCCCTCTCTCTCCTAGCTGGTGGCAACTCCATTGCCACCGCCCACATCCCTCGCCTCTCTCCATATTTTCTCCACACTGCTCTGGCCACCCGGTTCTCACCCTAGAGAAATCTTCGTACCCTTTTTTAGCTATTGTTTCACCTAGATTCAATCGAACTAACTTAGCTAAATTTTAGCTAAGAAATAGGGAGCATGATTGTGGATGCTCTAAGGGGCTAAAACATAGGCCTGTAAATAAAGCCCGAGCCCGATGGGCCAGCCCGAACCCGGCCCGATTTTTTAAATTTTGGGCTTACCCG